TTTTCTCTCATCTGTAAATGGAAACACATTTCTTGTATTTGATGTATAGAGTAAAGGTATTTATATATATATATATTTATACTCATATATATATAAATATATATATTTTTTTTGTTTGAATGCTGTTAGTTGAGCACCTGAGTGTAACAGATGTACTGTATATATTTATTATAGTCGCCATGTGATGTATGTTGCACAGCTGGTCAAAAAGTGTATAGGTCAATTTTTTTTCAATTGTAACTAGATTTACGAACTGTTCTTGATATTTAGAATAAATGTATTTTTTTTTGTACTAATTGGACTTTGTTTGAGCGAATGCAATTGGACCTGTTGTAAGAACATAATATATGTAAAATTTCAAAAACTGTGTTGATTTTATTTCATAACTCTCTGTAATTGTTGTTTAAGACAGATTCATATTTCCTAATGTGTTTCTGCCAATGTAAACAATGCCTCACAGTGCTGATTGTTCCCATATTATCACTTCTGTGTCTGTGATCGTCTGTTCTACCACAATGATACCTGGCTGCAGCCATAAGGGTATGATAATTTAAATAATGATGATGGAAATATTAACAGAAGCTAATATTTTGGATGCTAAATTATATTTTGGCTCTTATCAGGGGTACACTCTTCTTTAATAAAAAAGAGGCTGCCAAGTTCAGTACCATCTTTTGGTTTTACCTATTGGCAATTCCATTTAAGTATTCTGGCTCTATATACACTGTACCCCTATGTAGCTTTGCATATTCATTAACCAAAAAAATGTATACTGTAAAATATATTCTGGCCATAGACACTGCTCTTTAACCAACTACGAATCCCCAAAGGCATAATTTCCCCAATGACTTGAATTTGCAACAGGGAGCAAGATGTTAACGTACCTTAAACTGTGTGGATATTTGTTGTTGTTGAAAATTCATTGGCGTATTATGTGTTTTAAAGACTAATATTGGTGTTAATGTGTGTATATTTGTAACAATACAGGGTATACTACAGCACACATTTGCATTTGTTCATTAGATGGATTTTTTTTTTATTTATTATAAGTTTATAACACAAACATCTCAAAATAAAAAAAAAACAACAAAAAAACCCAAAAAAGATTTCTTATGTTTTTCCTATAACCTTACAAGATAAACAGCCAATAATTAAATAAATGAATGAATGGAAACGGCTTGCACCTCCAAATCTCGTTTTAATTGTTAATTCATTAAACAGAACTTTACGCCCATCTGACATAGTGCTTGTAGGGAAAACAGGCAAATTGTAAAAACAAACAAAACAAAAAAACACACCCACAGTGAAATGGAGAGTTTGTCTAAATTGGCTCTCATAATTCAAAAGTCACAATTCAGTGAGGAAACCTACTAAGGCGAACAAATAGTCTCTAAAATTCTAGAAAGCCTTCATTATAAAAATGTAAATTTTAAGTAAAAAATATGTTTCGGCCATTTGTGTAGTTGCAATCCGATATATTTTAGCCAAACTAAACGAATTATTTGGCAAGCGATTTCCCCTTGCTTTCCTAGTGGACGTTTCACAAAGCAGCCAAAAAGTTGTATAAATTTGGATGTAAGTCACACTTCCAGATCAACATTATCACAAGCAAGATCATTAGTTTACCTCTAATGTGGGGATAATATTAACATCTGGGGAGTAATTAAGTGTTTTGGGTGCGGTGGTCTTGTCACTCTAACCCTGCCATGTAACACGTTACATGCTTGATGACATCACCGGAGGCGGAGCTGGAGGCTGCAGCAGAGGAGTTCACTGCGCTGGAAACAAGGTGAGTAGTCTTTATTTTACTTAGCTTTTACAGAGCAAATGGGGGGTGGGGGAAGGACCTTTAGTACCAAAAATAAAATTTGTTATTTTTAGGACTAAAGGTTCCCTTTAAAGGAACACTCTAGCAATAGGGATACAAACATGTTCTTAATGTTAGAGTGCTAGCCTACCTATTTACATGGAGAGATCCTCCCTGAAAGTGATAACAAGACTCTGTACACCCCTCCTCTCTAGCTGAGGGCATCATTGGTGATGATCCCAGCCAATCCAATGCTTCAGAGTGATAGCAATGGTGGTGTTAAAGAGCAATGTAAAAACTGTGTCTCTTCTCAGAGAAAGTAGTGCATACACTCTTTGTCAGAGAATTACTACATTAATCTGTAGAGGTTCAGCTACCTTTTGGACCAGTACAGCAAGCTGCAGTGCGCATGGTGTTTGGATTGTTCTTTTAAAGAAAAGTTGTGTGTACAATGACTGGTACACTTTAAGTTCAAACTGCAGGCGTGACAAGAATTACAAATAATGAACTCATCTTGTCAACATGTGACAGCACCCAGGCCAGTTAAACTTGTTCTCATTCTTCTAACAATTACACAGCTGATTGCTTAGTGAATAAGGAGAAATGTCACTCCCATTCAACATAATTTTGAGGCATAAATCGGAAAGGATTTAAAGGTACAGATTAAGTAACCTTTGTTTCCAATGCTACACCTGCTTCCTGCCTATTCACAATCAATATCCCATCCCTGCATCCAGCCCACCTCCTTTAAATATACGCGTACTGACTATTCCCAATCAATGACATGAGTAGAGGTTATCCCTTGAAATGTGGGATTGGGACTGGGATTATAGGTAGTATTATTAGTAGAATTAAGAGTTAGATTATGGTTGGATTATTAGTAGGATTGGGGTGTAATTATTGGTTGTATTTATTGGATGTTGGATAAGGGGTAGGAAAATGGGTTAGATTACGGGTTAGATTAGGGTTGGATAATTGGTAGGAAAAGGGGTTAGATTAAGGGGTTAGATTGGTAGGATTAGAGTATGATTATTATGGGTTCGATAACGGGTATTAAAAGGGTTTATTTCATGGGTTAGATCATTGGTAGGATTAGAGTGTGATCATTATGGGTTCGATAAGGGGTATTAAAAGGGGTTATATCATGGGTTAGATCATTGGTAGGATTAGAGTGTGATTATTATGGGTTCGATAAGGGGTGTTAAAAGGGGTTATATCATGGGTTAGATCATTGGTAGGATTAGGGTGTGATTATTATGGGTTTGATAAGGGGTATTAAAAGGGGTTATATCATGGGTTAGATCATTGGTAGGATTAGGGTGTGATTATTATGGGTTCGATAAGGGGTGTTAAAAGGGGTTATATCATGGGTTAGATCATTGGTAGGATTAGAGTGTGATTATTATGGGTTCGATAAGGGGTGTTAAAAGGGGTTATATCATGGGTTAGATCATTGGTAGGATTAGGGTGTGATTATTATGGGTTCGATAAGGGGTATTAAAAGGGGTTATATCATGGGTTAGATCATTGGTAGGATTAGAGTGTGATTATTATGGGTTCGATAAGGGGTGTTAAAAGGGGTTATATCATGGGTTAGATCATTGGTAGGATTAGGGTGTGATTATTATGGGTTTGATAAGGGGTATTAAAAGGGGTTATATCATGGGTTAGATCATTGGTAGGATTAGAGTGTGATTATTAAGGGTTCGATAAGGGGTATTAAAAGGGGTTAGATCATGGGTTAGATCATTGGTAGGGGTTCGATAAGGGGTATTAAAAGGCGTTAGATTAAGGGTTGGATTAGGTCATGGATTATGGGTTGGCTTTAAAGGTTGCATTAAGGGTTGGACTAAGGGTTGGATTAGGGGAAATGATATGCATGTGGGCTTTCATTGTACCCAAAAACAGTAGCAATCCCTTTACCCCTTCCCTCCCTCTCTTCCCTAAGCACGTTTAACACCTCAAACGAGGTGTTCATAGCTCTGCAAAGCAACAGGAAAACCAGGGAAGATATGCCTCCCCCTCCTCCTTTCCAAGTTCACCCCATAAATTCCCAGGTACTCTAAATGTTTCGAGCAATGAGCGCACATTGTACAACTTGACTAAAAAAAACAGGACACCAATCCTACACGCAGGATGTAGCTTCTTTGATATACAAGATGGTGTAGTCCAGCGAAACCAGAGGTACAATTGGCACCCGGCATGCCTACATATGTGTTAAGTCATACCTAGGTAATTTATGCATGATATGTATAAGATTAATAATAAAATTTTAAATAACTTAGAGAGATAGATCAAATACTCCTACTTCATAAGGTCTTTGCCTCCATAAAAGGTTCCGGTAAACAGAGACGTTGGTTTTACTCTGTATAAAAACAAATCGACTGCTATGTAACACCACTCTGTTATTATTTTTTTTTGTATTTTATATTTCTGCTGTGCCTACGGGTAGTACAGACAGGCATGAGGTACCCCAATGGCAATCCTCAGGCTTAGCATTTCGCAATACAGTTGGAGTAGTAGATTATGCCTGCAGAATTTTATAATATGAACAAGAGATAACAGGATAGGAAGGTTTCTAGTCAGGTCTGTCTAGCCAATAATCATGATACAGGTAATGATGAGTTATATGGCTAGGAGACAAGCAAGGCTAGGTAGTATAAAGTAAACATGCTTAGCTACAAACATGCAAAATACTGCTAGCTATAGGTACATAACGATTGTTACTTGGTTTATCATGAATAAAGAAACCTGTGGCACTTTAAGAAAGACAGGAGGCAAATAACAGAGGGCTCCTCAGAGTACACAGGTCAGTAACATCTACGTGGTTAACATATAAGACCTTTTAAAATTAAAATAAGCAAACTATCATTATATATATGACCGTGGCTGGGAAGAAGTGTGTGATTGAGCAATCCTGTTCCCTAGCATTGAATCTTTAGGTCAGGCGATGCCAACACGGGCTGCATGCTTGTGCTTCTCTACAGGTAGGCCACTGGGCTCTGTCAGTCTCATTGCCTTGAATACCCCAAGTGTAAAGGTCCAAGGGCCACCGCCAACCATCCACCGGATATGTAGGTGAACACATACATGAATCCTTCTGGACCTCACACTCCTGGTGCATGATTCCATTGCTTGAAGGTTGTGTAGTGAATGAGTACCCACCGATGCTCCTCCAGAGAAGATCGACGACCGGGACCTCAGATGCTCCAACCGACCACATGGTTCCACTGCTTGCTCAGGCTTTGAGAGGGCTCCTTAAATTTGGTCTGGACTCCAATTTTGTCCACAATTCGGCACATAGATGGTCGGATGTTTCCATGAAGTTCTTACAGGTGTCTGAGGCGCGCATGCCTCGTAGTCACCGCTGGGTTGCATACGGTCGCCATCTTGAGGGTTCCGTCAGCTAGTACGAGGTCTGTAGATCCACAGAGGGCCCACAAGCTGGAATGCCACAGGTTGAGAATGGGGTTGCCGGGATAAAATAATAGCAAAATACAAAGATCTTGTGTTTGCAGTAGTGTGACACTTGTGGTCTGTGAACTTCCCCAAAATTAACATGTGCTGATAAAAAACACACACAAAAAAGTACTAATTTGACTTAAAGGGACACTATAGTCACCTGAACAACTTCAGCTTAATGAGGTGAGAACTATAGCTCCCTGCAGCCTTTCTCATGTAAACACGGTATTTTCTGAGATACATAGCTGAAAAGAGACTTGCGTCCATCAAGTTCAGCCTTCCTCACATTTGTTTTGCTGTTGATCCAAACGAAGGCAAAAAACCCAGTTTGAAGCACAATTTTGCAACAAGCTAGGAAAAAAATTCCTTCTTGACCCCAAAATGCCAGTCAGTCTTCTGGAATCCAACACCAGGGCTGGTCGGCAGAGGGGCCATGCCATTAGCTGCTTCTGGCCATCAGGTCCGTCCACAAACCAGACCCAACCCTTCTACCCGGAGGCAGGGAACCGGCAATGCTTCCATTATTCCAGAGGATTCGATCGCGGCTGCGGAGGAAGAGGTTGTTCCCGCGCCAGATTCACCTCTGGTAAGTCACCATTTTACTTTCCCTTTACATAATGTCCAAATAGCAGGCAGTGTTTCTCATTTTTTCCAGAACTGGGCAGATCTTTCATCAGATGCTTGGATCCTGCAGACTGTGCAGGGCTACCGGATAGAGTTTGAGGACATTCCGTTACAACTTCAACCCCCGCGTCCGCTAAGATTTGATTCCACAGACGAGCAACTGATAGACAGGGAACTACGGGACCTGCATTCGAAGGGTGCTATCGAAACCAGCTATGGATCTGGGCAGTTTTCTCAGCAACATGTTCTTGGTCAAGAAGAAATATGGGGAATTTTGACCGGTTATCAACCTTCGGGAACTAAACAACCACGTAGTATACCATCACTTCAAAATGGATGGTATACGCCTCGTTCTTAACCTACATTCCCAGGCCTTTTACATTATCGGGCCATGCAACTCCTCTAGTGCAGCAGATTGGACATGTGAATCAACATTTCGGACGTTCTACTTTCGTCCCCTATCGAACCCTGCTTTTTCTTGCTATCTCAGACTTGAAATTGCAAAATATGAAGCCTCCTGTCATGTTATAAAATTGAAGATTATGCTAGCTTTAGTGTACTAATAATCTTAATGTTAATTAGGACAGGAGGCGAATATTTTCCCGCCCTTGTTAGCACTCTTCTCTTCCAACACTTTGAATTATATTGGTTACACTACTCCGTTAACCCTATGTCCGTTCTCTCTGATGTTAACCATGTTCACTGTTTTGTTTTATTGTAGATATGTCTAACCATTGGTGATGTAATTCTGGGTGTGTTTCTCCAGATCTGTTTAGTCAGTTAGTTAGGGCCAGGGAATCTGGTTTATATTATTATATTTTATCTATATCTTATATGTTAATTTACAATATGTATGTTTAGCACAGTTCAGTTAGGTTTATCGCTGCATACAGTTTACTTCATTCCAGTAACACCTGTTACACTCTCATTCAACTTAATTCGAACTTTCTATGGATTTCCGTCTGTTCCTGACTGTTGAACTTGGGATTACTGGTTCCTGTATTGGTTTACTTCTACTACGTTACTACTTCTTCGTTTAGATGAAATTATGGACTTGTGATGTCGCAGTTTGTCAGAGGAAGTGATGCTGTTGGCTAAGCCTCTTATGGTCACTGCTTATGTTAGATTGGTTCTCAGTTTTCTTATGTTTTTTTCTTTGCTGCTACGGAGTGAGTAAAGAAAGATTATGCAAAATATGAAGCCTGCTATTCTTATTAAAATTAAGATTATTAGTACACTAAAGCTAGCATAAAGTTCAATTATATTGTTACAATGGCACCTGTCAATGGATGGGATCTGCCGCTAATGTCTTGGTGCCAGATGCCACAGGACATGTTCAAAAATCTTGTGGAGTTCATGCCTTGACGCATCAGAGCGGTTTTGGCATCAAGAGGGGCATCTACATGATATTAGGTAGGTGCTTTTAATGTTGTAACTGATCAGTGTATATATCATTTTGGCAAAAAATGCAGAATTGGAAATTTCTTCAATTCGTCTCTTTTCAAACACCTGTATTTTAGCCTTAGGTTAGTTATTCAATTCTCTACTTGCCAAAATTTTCCATTCAGTGAACAAACATTTCGGTCACTAGAATTTTTCAATATAAAAAGTGTCGTTAAAATAACAAGTGGTTTCTAAAACCTATAAACTAAAGTTATTGTCACCAAACATAAACACAACATGTTCGATCAACAGTTCTTTTCATACACCTGATTTAAAAAAAAAATATTATAAAAATAAAGTTAAACCTACCAGCTGTGAAGCCTATGGATCCCAGCATGCTCCGTGTGGGGGGAAAAAAGAACACCAAATCTTAACCAAATTCGGAATGAACACTGTTCGTAAAATGTCCTGCCCGCATAAAAATCACAAAATGCACTGCGTGAAAAAACAAAAATACTGATCACAAATGCTGTGTGTAAATATGAAAATACAGGTCATAACAAAATGCTCATCAGAATAAAGAACCCTGGAGACCAATAAAGTAGGATTTCTTAACTGCCGGCCTATGCTAGTAATAATTATTCTAAAGAACATACTGGCACCAAAACCATATCATGTCAATGAAGAGATTATTGTGCCTTCTTACATTAAGTGGTAAATTGCTTTTGAGTGGTTTAACACATAAAGAGACAATCCAGAACCTAGCTTCTTGAAGTGCTTTATGTGCGAAGAGTTTGTCCTCTTTCTTTCATTTTATAGAAATTGGTACTTTTATAATTAAACTTTGTTACTCCCCTCCTGTCAATCAGACAACGGTCCTGTTGCTTCCTGGTTTGGTTAGCTCAAGAGGCAGCAATTGCCCAGAGCACCTGCCTTGCAAAGACATCTCATTTTGCTGCATTGGGAAGTCTGTGATTGGACAGCCATGAGTTGGGGTTAGAAAAAGCAAAGGCAATAGACAAGGCAAGCTATTTTTTAGATATAACCCCAATGAAAAAAAATGCAGAGTTAGATGTATGCATGATTTTACTGGGGGTATATCTACTAAACTGTGATATTTATTTATTTGGGATGTGGAGTGTCCATTTAAGTGGAGGTGAGCCCCTCCTAGTGAGTTTTGCAACGGAAAAATATACATTTATATATATATCTATATATATATATATATTTTTTTTTTTTTAATGTACATATATTTCTGAAGCATTACTTGGTGCGAACCAGTACCTGTGGAACATCATTTAACTTTTAAAATACAGTTTGACACTTATAGGTAAGAAAGAGTTGTTTTGGTGCCGGAGTGTTGCTTTAAAGAGCAATAATTGGTTGATCGATTTATTTGTTATTAATTACTTATACTTTGTGTGGCAGTTTTAATGGCTAAGCACCATAACTACAACTACTCGTATTATTACTGCTCTTTGAATTATTAAAGCCTAGTGTAGCAATGATGGTGCAAGGAGCCTAGCTTTTTGAAAATTATAACTTTTTGGTCGGTCATTTAAAGGGACACTATAGTCACCCAAACCACTTTGGCTCAATGAGCCAGGTCCCTAAGGTTTTAACCCTTCAGATGCAAACATAGCAGTATATTCACAATACACAATACACAATACACACAATACACATATACACAATAAACACAATACACATATACACAATACACATATACACAATACACACAATACACAATAAACACAATACACATATACACAATACACACATATACACACAATACACATATACACAATACACATATACACAATACACATATACACAATACACACAATACACATATACACAATAAACACAATACACATATACAC